CGAGCATGCAACTCCTCCTCTTGAACCATACCAGGCCACATTCCCTCAACCTGGGGAGACCCCCTGGCAAAGCATATTGTTTCCATATTGATGAGGACAAGAGACACTTGCCCACATGCTGTCCCCAAGAGGATGAGAGGGTAGATATCTGCCCCCTCTCCACCGAATTAATAAGGGGTACTTATTCACAAGAAGAAAATTAAAGTGTAAATAAGGACACACACACTTTTGACAAGTCTGTTAATAACACACAAAAAAAGTCTGCACATCCATTATCAATTATGTTGTTTAGTGATGCAGAACTTCATCAATCACAGTGAACGACATTCGCCAACCACCTGGAAAAAAACCCCGCCTACACGCCCACACTCAACAACTGCTCGCCACAAATCACTGCTCCTCAGGCTGGTAGCTGTAGTATAAACCAAAGGGCTGGGTTACTGGTGATGTCATTGACTAAATATGGCCATGGCGATATTTAGTCATTGATGTCACCGGAATTACTGTCACATTGTTTACATTCAGCTGTTTCCCAGGAAATCTCCCAGTTGACAGATGGGTAGTCTCATGGGGATGTGTTACTGATTGCTAGGACGTTGGCGGGTGCTGTCTTCCTAACAGCCAGTGAAGAGCAGGAAGCTGTCAAATTTACCAGCTGTAGTAATACCGCTGGTAAATGTAGCACGTACTACTGGATCATCGGGCTGGCGAACACCCCATTTAGTTCAACGGTTTGCTGAATATGCAAAATCCATAGCAAATTCAGGTTAAGTCTGAACCTGACCCTCAATGAGGAGGGAGATAATTAAGGAAGTCGTACAGCTGATCCAAACAAAATATAAATAATACATGTAACTACAAGGCATCAACAGTCTAGATTCAAATACACACTCAGGAAAAAACAAAACAATCCAGTATATGAGACAACAGAAGAATTAGGTCTTCACATAAATACATTTTACTGTAAAAATATAAAAATCAACCACTTTGCCTCATATCCATATCAAGTAAGCAACCTTAAATCATGATTGGTTATTTGTACTATTAATACAGTGTTGTGTGCAACTCTTAGCTCCTTCAATTACTACCAAAGCATTATACATATGAATGTATGTGACATTATTACAGTTAAAAGTTGGAATAATAGAACAATTACTGAAGTGGAAATACTCAGTAGACAGCCCCAGCAGGTCAAGGGCATGGTCCAGGATGGAGTGTATGTAGTATGTTTATAAACATTTCCAAAGTCATTCACCATGTGAATATCTGTTAATGTTTGTTCTGTACAAATAGAGACAAAAACAAACGTTCTTAGTATATTTTCTTTCCAGGTTTAGTGTAATACAATACCACATTTTGACCACTAGGTGGAGCTGAGTATTTCCTATTTCGTTACTTTTCCTTTTTGTAACAGCAAGAGCCTGGAGGGAGTGTGATGAAGTCTGTCCTTGTAACAGGCTAAGACTTGCCAACTGAATTTGCCAACGGTTTGGTGAATCCTGTTTGAAATTGGAAGGACCAGAATTTAGCAGCAAATCCAACTGTAGTCTATTTAAATTACATGCTTGAGCAATGCTTTAAAGTGACATTAAAGGCAGTCCCCCCCCCCCCCCTCCACCCCTTTAATGCTGCTGTAGGGACTTACCTTATGTGATGCCTCTTGATCCGAACAGCTTCTTCCTTCCACTCATTTTCCACAGTCCCTTCTGCTGCCGGGAGCGAGCGGTGCTAACACAGGTAAGTTTGTTGGTGTTGTCCAACTTTTTTTTATGTTGGGGCATATATCTACTGATTACTAGCAGTAGATATATGCAAAAACAAAACAGACTTTAAATTATACTTTAAAGCTATGTCTGGTGTTACAGAACACCTATAGTTTTCAAGAACATACTCAATGACAGTGTACTCTGGCATAATTGGCTGTGGGTTTGATTTTTTCTTTTACAATTAGCTTAGCTTAGAAACTGTACATCAGCAGCATCCCAATCTGATTAATTTCAGGTACCGTATATACTCGAGTATAAGCCGACCCGAATATAAGCCGAGGGTGGGAAATGAGGAAGCTACTGGTAGATAGATACCAATAAAATTACATTAATATTTATTTAAAAGAAAAATAACCTAGCTCTGTAAGTGGAAAAGGGGGTACAGGGCTACATATCATGTACTACGGATCATTTAACCCATTCATATTAGCAGAGGATAATTGTAAATCTATTGTTCAGTGCACTCTATATGTAGTATATAGTACATGTACATATAGAGTGCCTGCAACAATACATTTACAATGATCCTCTGCTAACATGAATGGGTTAAATGATCCATAGTACAGGGCTACATACAGATCATTTAATACATTCATGTTAGTATAATTGTAAATGTATTGTCTGCACTGTATTAGCAGTATATACTCTATATAGAGTATATACTGCTAATACAGTGCAGACAATACATTTACAATTATACTAACATGAATGTATTAAATGATCTGTATGTAGCCCTGTACTATGGATCATTTAACCCATTCATGTTAGCAGAGGATCATTGTAAATGTATTGTTGCAGGCACTCTATATGTACATGTACTATATACTACATATAGAGTGCACTGAACAATAGATTTACAATTATCCTCTGCTAATATGAATGGGTTAAATGATCCGTAGTACATGATATGTAGCCCTGTACCCCCTTTTCCACTTACAGAGCTAGGTTATTTTTCTTTTAAATAAATATTAATGTAATTTTATTGGTATCTATCTACCAGTAGCTTCCTCATTTCCCACCCTCGGCTTATATTCGGGTCGGCTTATACTCGAGTATATACGGTAGATTTAGCAGTGAGACATGCCTTTTCTTCAAGCAGTACTAGGTCTGCAATTTCTGCCAAAATGTCATTAAGAATCAGGGGCAACAGATGATACAGCAGTGCAAAGTTGTAATGTGGGACAATTGGCCAAACTGTGCTAGAAACAGAGTACAGGCAGGAGTTTTACCACAAGAATGAAAGCGGACCTTTACCCATATCCTTAAAATAACAACAAACACACCTTTAGAATCTCTTTTCTTCCCCAGTCTTCTGACAGTGGCCATGTTTACTAAGGGCAGATTATTAGCTCTTCTATTACTTCCTGGATTTCTGGCACGTGTGACTAGACATGTGACTAGGAAATGTGACCATGCACATCTCAGGGGAGGAAAACGCCTTTCTCTGAGAACTTGTGAGATTACAGATTAGATTTTCCAGCAATGTTCTGCTGATGACAAGGCAATCCCAGTATACATTGCTTTGCCAAACTGAAGTCATTTTGCCATTTCAAAGCAGTAAGTGAATGATCTGCAAGTGTAAGTTTTTCAAAATCACATTTTACATCTGTCATGCCTATGTTATTATTAATAGATGGATGCATTGGTAGAATTTGATTTTTGTGTGTAAAGGTCGCTTTAAGATACTGCAGATTATGCAGCAGTGTCAAATAGATCAGCAGCAGGACATTTTCAGTTAGAAAAACAAGGCTGAAATGTTTTTGAGACACAGAGCACAGACAAGTAATTTAATTGAAGACTTAGGAGATAACAAATGATAAAGCAATGTAAACTTGGCCACTGGCAGGACAGTTTTAATCACACATAATAGTTGTGATTAAACCTTAATTAAACCTTAACAGTGTTTGCTTAAAGGAGAACTATGAGGTGAGTGCTTTTCACTCACCTCATAGTTCTAGCCGACCTGTGACAATGAGACTGTCACAGGTCGGCTCAGTAGATCGGGAGGTGAGAGAAGATATACCGGCGTTCGCTCACCTCTCGATCGTGTCACGGCTCTCTGCCGTGACAGGGGAGGGGCTAGATTCCCCCCTCCCCGCTCCGATCCGCCAGCGCTGACTGGCGGAACGGATGGGGGAGGGGGTGGGTACACCTGGCTCTGCCTCTATATAGGCAGAGCCAGCTGTCACTCACGCAGCTGGGCGGATCTCGACATCGATGTCGGGATCCGCTCCGGCTGCGGCGTCTCAGTATACCGCGAGCTGTAGCTCGCGGTATACTGAGCTTAGGATAACGGGAGGACACTAGTTTGTGTCCTCCCGTTACCCTAAGGAGAACTATGAGGAAAAGCCCTGACCACATAGTTCTCCTTTAACTATAATAAATACAGTGCAATAATAATAATAATAAGTACAGGTGCAATAATCAATGTGCAAAATATAAAAATGATACCCTTAACCAGCAATGAATAATAACATGATCAATCAAAAATACATAGCCTACAAATGAATAAAGTGCACATAGTCCATACAAGTGTCAATATAATCAATGGCAAATTATGTAAAATTGATACCCTTTATACGCAATATATAACAACATAATCAGTCATGAATTGATAGCTTATTCTTCATTATTAACTATGAATTTATGATTGATTATGTTGTTATAGCTGTATGGATATTATGCACTTTATTTATTATAGGCTATGAATTTATAATTGATTAGGTTGTTATTTTGGGTATTTTTATATAATTTGCACATTGGGACATTCTTCTTTATTGGTATTTTTATAAACTATTTATTGGCCTATTTGGCATAGCTGTTGCAGGAGGTCATCTTTGTTGAGACCAATATTGTTCATGTGTTCACTGTGCCTGAGATAACATAACATAGTGCATAATCTTGCACCATTAACATAGATAACTTTATGTGCACTTTGGCCAGTATTATCATTGAACTGTTGTTCATCACTTCTACCTAAACTGACATTTTGGTCTGCTGGCAGTATGCTGGAACCACCAGAGGAGGCTGCAATTAATGTAACTAAGCTGCTGGGAAGGAGAAAATTTAGTACAGTGTTACTTAGGGGGTGTTAAAGGGTGGGTTTAGCAAAAGTTAATATAAATGTACAGCTATCCTTTTACTAGTGCATGTTTTTCAATGTTTGAGAATATTAACATGCCCATTTTAATACTGCATGAGTGTATTTTTATTCAATGTATTCCTTTGTTTCAGCAATCCAGAGTCACTAGATGCTGTCAAAGAAATCCCTGCTGTAAAAAACCTTAAAAGTGTCATATATGGGTGAGTTACTGGAGTGATCTAGTGATCAAGAAGTGCACGCTTTATTACAGACTGTTCAGTAGTGTTTCTTGTGGATATTTATGCTACTTTGAAACAATATTACTTCAGATTATTTACATTATTAATGGGGATAAAGAGCAAAGATATAAAGAATTATGCCATTCAAACTATTGTCCTTGCACTTGTTTCCCTCTGAGGGCTTGTTCACACTATGTCCGGACCATCTCCAGACCAGAAGAGTTTGTTCCCGGATCAAAAAAGCATCCCAATGTATCCCTGGGCCCTGTTCACACCAGCATAGTCCGTTCCGGTCCAGACAAAAAAAATACTGCTTGTCTCATTTTCTCTGGTCCGGAATCCATTTAAACACTTCAGAAACGCATGCAAACGCACTGGACTGCACCTGAAAGCCCATTTTAAGCTAAAAAAAAGGCACTGGAATGCAGCAAAAACACACTGCACTGCATTTGCAGATCTGTTCCGGTGTGAATATAGCCTAATAGTCACATGGTCTGATACTAATAATGATGAGAAGGGTTACAATTTATTTATTACAGGTATTTATGTAGCGCTGGCAATTTATGTAGCGCTTTACATAGAGCACATTCACACCAGTCCCTGCCCTCAAGGAGCTTACAATCCAAGGTCCATATCTCACATGCATATATACAGGGACAGTTTAGAGAGGAGCCAATTAACCTTCTAGAACAGTGGTTCTCAACCTCTCTAGGGCCGGGACCCCTTGGTAACATTTGCCAAGTTGTGGTGACCCCTAACGGTAAAATTTAGGGATGACGCGGCTGCTGCAGTGACATCTGGCAGCGTGACGGGAGAACTCACACTGCTGCGCTAGGAGAGGGCTGAGGAGGACTCTCGCCTAGCACAGCACAGCAGACTCCAGCTGCGTCATGCCCAGCTGGATGCTATCCCCAGGAAACTGAGCTCTGAAGGCATGGGCAAGCTGCATGTACCGGAAGAAGCATTTCCCATGGGTGGGGTGTCTGGCTGCAAGGTCATTAAATGGCAGTAGTGAGTTAGCATCTACTATATCCGCAATTATTTTGATTTTACGTTTGGCCCAGAAACAGGGATCAGGGATCGAATAAAAGTGAGGGAGTTGAGGATTGTTCCATAATGGGGTTTTTGGGGGTATCTCCAAGGTGTCTTTTCCACACCTGGATATCCCCATACGCCAGGCTTTGATAGTGGTGTGCATAGAGGGTGTGAGGGGGTATGGGGCTCGTGGTCCTCTACCAAGCAAATTGGTCAGAGCCTCTCCCGAGTTCAGGATCGCAGCCTCCAGCATGACAGAGGAGTTGTTCACATCTGCCAAGAGCCACCAGTTGGCTGTAACCAGTTGCGTGGCCAGGAAATATTGATAGAAATCCGGGAGGGCCAGCCCTCCCTGGGCAGTAGGGCGCATTAAGGTCGTAAGTTTGTAGCGTGGGGGCTTAGATCCCCATAGGAAGGAGGAAACTAGTTGGTTAAGTTGACAAAAATAAGATCGGGCAATCCAGACTGGAGAGTTCCTAAAGACATAAGTTAGTTTAGGTAGCAGTTTCATCTTTACTAGGTTGATTTTCCCCAGCAGGGATAAAAGTAAGTTTGCCCACGCCTTCAGCCGCTGCCTCATGTCCCCGAGGACTGGAAATAGATTCAGCGCTAAGTACTCTTGCGGCAGCCTGGAGACCACTACCCCAAGATATTTGAAGGAGTCCACCAAGGACAGTTGGGTAACCGTCCTGGGTACAGACCTAGCCCCTGCATTTATGGGGAACAGTACCGATTTATGCCAATTGACTCTGAGACCTGACACTGCAGAAAATGCATTCAATACCTCTAGGGCACCCTGCATATCTTTGTATAACAGTCTGATCCAGCGAGTGAACTCCAAGGGGAACCCCATCTTGTCTAGGACAGCCCACAGATAGAACCATTCCACTGTGTCAAAGGCTTTTTCTATGTCAAGAGACGCCACCACCCGAGTCCCGGTGCTGACATGGGATGCATGTATGTGGGTAAATAATCTGCGTAAATTAATATTGGTGGATCTGCGGGGCATGAAGCCAGTTTGGTCCGAGTCTATCAGACTGTCTGTCAGTTGGTTAAGTCGTACACTAAGAATCTTAGTCAATATCTTAAGGTCACAGTTAAGTAACGCAATTGGGCGATAGGAGGCACAATCCGTCGGGTCTCTAGGTGGCTTATGAATCAGGATGACATGGGCTCCAGTCATCGAGGGCGGCAGGTGGTTGGTCTCTAAGCTAGTATTGTACATCTCACACAAACGCGGAACCAGTAAGTCCGCGTGCGTCTTGTAGAATTCCATAGGGATCCCATCTGGCCCTGGTGATTTCCCATTTGGGAAAGAGCGAATGGCATTCGATACCTCTAGTTCTCTAAATTTGCCATTGGGATCTGTGTGAACCTCATCCACGGTGCATGGTAAAGACTTATTAATAAGGACAGATACACCCCGTGAATATGCGGAGTGGGTAGCATGAAACGACCTCTGCACCCAAGGGCGTCTTAACGCCAGGATCCTGTTGCCCAGCAGATGGGTCTCCTGCAAAAATAGTATGTGGGGGTTATGCTGTTTGACATATTTAGTCCAATCTGATTTTATTAAAAATTTCAATACAATACAAAACCTAATGGCAAACAGACATTTCACCATAACAATGAAAATATAAAGGAGACAAGTAAACATACAGAATAGCTTGAATCTTCAGGCGAGCCTGAGAGCAACATCATCAGGGCACACAACATTGTTTCATTGTACAATTTGAAGCCCAACATCGATCGGCGTCTATTGCCTAACATACTGCCAAGATCAGCTGTGCTGGTACAGCCCCGTCGGGGATCTGTCTCTACTTGCCACTTGGAGCAGTGACCGTACGCAGCACAAATATGTTCGGGTGGTGTCCCTCCCAAACGGGCTCGCTGTGTTTCGCAAGTTGCTGTTATACACATATAGATGCTGTGCATCGCTAGCTGCTAGAATGGGCACAGGTGGGACAGAAGAAGAAAAACAGCATGAGGGTCAGGGAAAGGTAGGGAAAGTCAGAGGATGGAGGGGGGGATGCAGGGGGGGATTGTCTCTCCTAACCCCCTTCCCACCTTGCGTCTATGTCACCCTGCAGGTGGTTCAGGGAGAGAGGGCTGCCTGAAAACCATTTGAGTTTCTAAAATCAATCCAAACTGACCAGGTGCGGACATACCGGTCCCCAGTTTCGTTCTCTCCGGACATTAGATCTTCCAGATATGCAATACGGTCCAGCTCCACTACCCATTCCGCGAGGGTGGGGACCACCGGAGTACGCCAGTGGCGCGGTATAACCACCCTGGCTGCTGTGAGGAAATGGCGCAAGAGTCCCCTCTTTGCCAACTTAAGCGAGCCAGGGATCATGGACAGCAGCAGAATCTTGGGGTCATCAGCAATTGTGGTTCCTGTCACCCTGTGTCCATTAGGGGGGCGAAAGTTGGCAGAGTACAGATCCCCCTGGTCCGTTGTGAGAGCTATCCCCAGGTATTTTAGGGAAGTGGAGCATAGTCGGAAGGGGTAATTGTCAGTCAGGAGATGTAGGTCCGTTGCCCTCAGGGATACGTTGAGGATTTCTGATTTAGCGAGGTTGACCCGGAAGTTACTCAGGGAGCTAAAGTTCTGGAATTCACGCAGTATCGTGGGCATGGCTATATGGGGATGGGTCACGTAGAGTAACAGGTCGTCCACGAATAATGCGAGTTTATGTTGGTGGGTCCCCACCCTCAAACCCTGGAAAGCACCATTCTGCCCAAGTGCTACTGCCAGGTGTTCCATGGTGAGGACATAGAGTAGGGGGGACAATGGGCAGCCCTGCCTAGTGCCGTTGGAAATCCGGAAGCTCGGGGAGAGTGCCCCGTTCACTCGGATTTTAGCTGATGGGTTAGAATACAGGGCCATTATGTTCCTCGTCATGGCGGGTCGAATCCCTAGCTGAAGCAGAGAGAGGCATAGGAAGTCCCAGTCAAGACGGTCAAACGCCTTGTCCGCGTCCACGGATAAGAGGCAGAGTGGCGTACCCGAGGTTTTGGCATAATGCATCAACAGGAGCGTCCGAATGGTGTTATCTCGGGCCTCCCTCCCCTGGATGAACCCCACTTGGTCCCTGTGGATTACGCTCGGGAGTAGTGGTGTTAGTCGGTTGGCAATAAGTTTGGCGAATAGTTTCACATCCACATTAAGGAGTGATATCGGCCTGTAATTGGTGCAGAGGGTATGATCCTTATCTGGTTTAGGAATCAATGTTATATGGGCCTCCAATGCTTGAGCCGGGAAGGAGGACCCTAGGGCAACCGATGTGAACACCCTCAGAAGGAAGGGGGCCAGCTTATCGCGGAATAAGGTGTAAAATTTTACCGTAAACCCATCTGGTCCTGGACTCTTACCCGTGGGTGCGGACTGGAGGACTGAGAGCAATTCCGTCATAGTAAAGGGTGACTCCAACGCCTCAGCATCAGAGTCTCCCAGGGTCGGGAGGGCCGTGCGTTGGACATAGGCCGACATTTCCGCGGCCCGGTCCGGGGTAGATGTGCTCTGTTCCGATAGGTTGTATAGGGAGTTATAGAAGTCCGTGAAGGCAAGTTGGATATCTGAGGGTGAGCTCACTAAGATACCGGATGCGGTATGTATGTGTGGGATATATGTGGAGGTAGATCTGGGGTGCAGGGTCTTGGCCAGAGCCCCCCCACACTTGTTCCTAGTGACATACGCTCTAAGGGCCAGTTTGTCAGCATATCTGCGAGCGGACAGATCAAGGAGCCCAAGGAGGTGTTGCCTGGCCTGAGACGTACGCATCAAGAGGTCCTGTGAGGGCAAATGTTTGTGTTGAGTCTCCAGGGCTGTCAGGGTTTGGAGGGCCTCCCTAATAAGACGGGACCGCTTTCAGCGCTTCCCACTGAAGGGGAAGTGGAGTAGGACCTGAGGCATGTGCCTCCAGAAAATGGGTGATCTCAGCCGA